TATGATTCAGAACACACCCTTTTATTGATCCAACTTTATTCAGGAAGCAATTATGTTTGTTTAAAGGAAATTACTCATTTAAGAAAAGTTTTGAGAGAACATTAAAGTTTACACCCCAGAGTGGACACTGTGGACAAAATCTCAATTAGCAGGAACTATTTCTTTCATGTAATACCCTTATGATCCATATTTCCTGATGAGGTTACTGTAGCTTGTTTTTCCTTCATGACCCTTTAGTTTCATAAACAATGATTGCCACTACAACTCCTCGATGCTGGGGTGGAAAATGAGTATGCTTTAAAATCTATAATTAAGACCTAAGATCCAGTATATAGACCACAACATGTGGCCTGATTATTGGCTTCATGTTTTTAGCTAGGCCACTTCTGGCTGTAGTTTGAATTCAAGGGAAATTAAAAGGACTGTCTCACTTATTCAAACAAGAACACATTTAAATAATTACCAGCAACTTAGATGGGCTAATAAAGCAAGAGTGGCAGCATTGCTTTAGCTCTGTGCAGCATGGTCTCATCAAACAGGAAAGAAAATCTTCTAGCTCTATGATATTCACTTTGCTCTGGACATACCAAGTACACTGGTAAAACACATGCAAAATACCTCTAGATCTTCAGCAGGGGTAGCACAGATCTCAGTAGTGCTATCCTGTAACTTAACATCAAGTTGAATTTGTTTCAGGAATTCTGTGCCCCCTGAAGTCACAGTAGCCCATTAGCATAAATATCTATATTACTTCCAAAGGGGTTAGTAATATTGCCAAATTGAAGTGGATGATCAGATTCTTTCCTTGTGTGTTTATGATGCAAGACAGCAATAAAGCAAGGCCTGCCTCTTCTCTCTTTCATGCCATTAAGAACATGTTTTCCAGAAAAGAATGATGCTGGAAAGATTTGCTGGACGTAAGCAAGCAGGTCTGTTCAGCAACAAAGTGTCTACAGAGTAAATGAGAAATACAATTAGACTCCCTTCTCAGGGCTGAAGAAGCCTCTGCACGTGCCACCACAGTGCACAGAGAAGCCTCTCAGAATAACCCTGGACAGAGGGTGATGGAGCATCAGTTTTTATCTGAATTTCTGAAGCAAGAGACTTCGAAGAGGATCTGACAGCTTAGTCTTCCACAGAGAACTGAAATGAAGAGCCTTGTCATGGTCATACAAAATGTTGTGAATATCTTGGTTGGATTTATGAACAAAGAGCCAGTTTCTTTCTTTTACCATTGCACTCAGGAAACAAAATGGTCTGTAAGACATTTGCGAATAGAAATATCTGGCTCATATCTCAACTTCTGCTCCTTGCAGATGGTAGTCTGCAAGATGGAGCTGCAGTTTTGATGCAATAGAGATTGTGATCCTGGGGGCTTTGTTGCTGTTAACTCAGGACTGTTCCTGATGTGGAGTGTATGCTCCTGGTTCCTTCACCACTGGTGTTGTAAGACCTGAGATGTAAGGAAGGAGACCTGGGATGTAAGGAAGGACTTTGCTTTAATTTTTCTGCTAATCTTAGTGCCTACTCTGGCCTTTGTTTTCATTTAATATGGAGCATTGCTGCCCTTTAAAAGTATATTGCTGTGATTTTACTTCCTACATAAATTCCTCGGGAATTAAAAATCTATTGATGACAGACAAAGCTTATTCAATGGAAGTGGGACTGTTATATTTTCATATTTTCATCCAAGTCCTTTCTATCATCCGAGATGGTGTTTGCCTTCATGAGATACTGTGCTACAGATCAGCTTTTAGAGAGTATTTTCCCATAACATTCATAGACGTCAGCCTGTGGAAATGAAGGAAGACTAATCAAGACAATCTGAACCTCCCTTCTCTTAAGGGCCTATTTTTATTGATTTCTAATCTTGAAAGAATTCTGACATTTGTTTTTTTAATTACCATCATGGGACAGAAAGGGATTGACAATTGCTGATGCAAATGAGTTAAAATACATACTGAAAACAGGTAGGTTGGGCACTGCTGCCAGGCTTGCAATGTGGCAGCAATGTTTGAAAAGTGAATCTGAGAAGTTGAGTAACTATCCCATTTTTTTTCTCTTCTCAAGCTCTGATGTCACAACAACTCTGCCATTAGTGTTTCAGTTACTATTTCAACCAGTTCAGGGATGTCAATTTATCTCACTGCAATCACACCCTTGAATGATAACACTGACATCCCTACAGATAATAGCCGTTCTGGTATTGGGAGTGAAATAGTTTTGGAGGTCAGCAGGAGAGAATCTGTTGTCTGATACTTTCCTGCCCTCGCTCCCGTGAGTGCTTCAGCATGTGCACAGGCACCTCACACAGAACGACAGTGAGGACTGGAGCGAGATGGAGTAGTAAGAAAAACAGGACTGTGTTTTTCACCTCTTCTATTCTGCCTCTTAACTCAAGTGAAAACTACATTATTCATAGAACTAAGTCACATAGTGTCTCAAATCCAAAGAGGTCTGTAATTTTCTCCCCATAAAGTGCCCAGCTAATTAATCAAGAATACAATTAATTTTGAGTCAAAAACTTTGTAAGCCTTAGCTGAACAGCGGTATGTGGCTTACTGGCTAGCAATAAATGCTGTTCCCTTTACCTGTGTAGCATTCCATACCTGATGGAGCAAACTTAAGGCATCTCAGACATCATCAATCTTTTCACTGTCCTTGTTACTAAGTAAACACGTGATCTATCAGCTGACCTTAAAGACCATGGATATATAGATTATGTCTATATTGGGAACCTGAGGAGCTTTCTGGACAGTCAGGTCTGAGTGAGAGTCTCACCTGCTTTCCAGGTCCATAAAGGAGAGAGCCCTCAGGTTGCACTGCTTCCCCACTGCAGGTGTGCACACAGGTTTATGGTCCAAATAAGACCCACATTATGTTTCCAACAAGTGCATGATCTCAGTTACTGGGGGGCTAGGAACCTAACTTAGTTGTGTCTCAGCACAGCCTAAGTGGGCAATGTAGAAACAGCCCAAGCTGGATTACCACATGTCAGCCCAGCCTCAGTAACTGATGTGGGATGGACTCCAGCGGAAGGTTTCATTTGGATTGGGGCAAAAGCCATTCAGACAATTAGTTGCTACAGCTCAACTTACATGGGAGCCTTCATGTAACCTACCTAGGCTTGGAAATTACAAAAGCCAAAGTAGCTTAAAATGGAAGACTGCACTGAGCATGTAAGTTTCTGAACTGTATCGGGTCTCATTTTCCTTGTGTAATATGGTCCTTTTTTATGCCATGCTTCTGTTGAGATGTGTCCATCAAGGCAATGTAGCCAACTGAAGATAGCCAGACATAAAGGAAGTGCTAAATGAGAAGAATAACATCATCTGGTCTGACTGTGGTGGCCCAGTAGTTTCTAGAAGTTATCACAGATGGTTACAGCTTAGAAAAGAATTAAGCTGCAATATAAAAAGGGGAATAATGCCACAGACATTTCTATCATGAGGACTTAGACCAGCTTTTTACCAGCATGGCCAAGCCTTTCTCATATCATGTCTTGATTGGGACTGAGAAGTGGTTCCCTGAAACATGATGAATACTTTGATGATGAAATTCAGTGTCTGTTGCTATAGATTAAAACAACTAATTTTGCTCATCAAAGTGGATTAAATAGTTTCCAGAGTCATAAGACTGTGCCCAAAGCCCACAGCAACTTTCAGCAATGACTTCTCCCCCAAAGCAGGGCCTGAACAGGCTCTAAATTAAGACATGCATAAATCAAGAATGATTAGGCTGACTACCCTTATAATTAAAATGGTAGAGTATATGGAAATTGGCTTGCTCATGCTCAGATTGTTTGAACAGAAATACTCAACATAAGACAGTCCTCCAGAACAAGAAAATCTGCATGCCAGAGATGAGAGACTGCGTGAATCATCACTGGTCACAACACGCTCATGCTACATGCAGGTCAGCACAGTCCTACTGCTCTGCTCTTTCTATGCAATGTTACTTGCTGTAGACCTCTAAATAATTTCTCATTTGTTAAAATCAAAATATTGCACTAAGTTAAAGCAAAGTGTTTTCCCTGCTCATCACTGCAAGGTCTCCTAGGGACTCCATTTCAATCAGGGGTGGTGGGAGGATCAGCAGCAGCAGTAGCTATTTTGGAACTAGTGATCAATGATAGATTTCTTCCTGCAGCCAAACACTGCACTACAAGTTTCTGAAGTAATGCTAATACACAAAAAAGAAAAGGTTACGAGTACACCATACGACAAGTGCACACAAGGATGATCCTATTTGGTTTGACATCAAAAAAGTTAAACAGAATGTTTTGCTAAAAGACCTTGTGTTTGAATATAGTTAAATGACTAAGTATGAAAGGGTTCCATTTTCCTGACTGCTATTTGTTCATCAAAAAAACGTATATAAAACGTATTCAATTCTTACCTAATCCTGCATGAAAAAATGTATGCTTGTGTGCTGAATGCATGGACTAAGGTTAATCAATTATTAATTTATAATTATTTAACCATATGCACCAATACAAAAGCATGAGAATCTTTAAACTGAATAAGAATTTGTTTTTACAAAAAAACTATGTTTCAAGGTATCAATAACCAAGAAAAGCTTTAAAACATGAAGTCAGTATTCTACTAAGGATCTCTTTGGAAACTCTTAAGTTCCTCTGGAAGCTCTCATTTTACCGCTTCCATTTAAAAAGTTTATACTCAAGTCTAAGCTTGTGAATAATTTTATGGGAGCAACATAATAGAGAAAATAAGATATTATAAAGAAGAAACTCCAACTAGCATGGCTATTATGAGCAATCATCCAAGAGATATATATCTCTTTAGAAACTGCAGAAGTACTTATGTAAACACTCTTGAATGCTTCTCATGAATTGGTAGCAACAAACAAACAAAAGGCAGCAAGCATTTCCAAATAAACAAATATATTTGTTTTAGGGGTTGGAGTTTAAGGTTTTGATTTTTTTTTTTTCATTTTTAATAATCATGCTCTAGAAATAAGCCAAGGCAAAGGTCACTTACCTCTTACATGGACTAGAAGGAAGCCAAAGCACAAAAGAAAAATACTTCTGAATTTCTCCATGCTCTTCTATGCAGTGCCTTGATTGTACCGCTTGTTTTTTTCCCAGTGATGATGTTGCAATGGCACTGCTAAGGTTTGAGGGACACGCTTAGAATCAGCGCCTCTGCCCAAAGAGGTCTCTCACCATCACATCCAAGCAACGCAGAACAGAGAGAAGTCCCTGAAAACCTGTTTGCGTACAAGACAAGTAAAAAAAGCAAACAACCCTGCTAGTGCCAAGCTGTGAGCAGCACCTGAGGTGTGAACTGTGCTCCAAGAAATCTATTTATTACCCAGGCAGGAAGCATGGAGAGCGGGGGAAGCAATGGCAGCACCCAATGAGGAGGGAGCCAGAATGCTCCGAGTCCACCTCCTCCCCGCAGGGGAAAACCAACCTGTTTGACATCCTTGCCTTCAAAGCAGGGTGTGGTGCTGTGAGAGCTCAAGTAGCTTGTAAGAGGAGACCATCTTTCTCTGAAGTGCGCTTGAAAGAATCACTCAGACATACTCTGTCCTCAAAGCACCACTTCTCTGCTCAGTTCTTGGCTTAGTAACAACTACTGATAAAGGCAATACTGCCAGCGTCTTAACCCCTAACTCAGGCTGCCATGTTAGGGAATTAGAGGCCAAGAATCTGCTTTGCAGAGACTTGGGAATTGGCTAAAGAGGGATGACAAAAAAATCTAATTTTATAAACTTAAAATGTGATATTGGACTACACAAGCATACTCAGCTCCCCAGTGGATTCTTATCTTCACAAGTTAAATAAACATTGCTCATCATGATTTTTTTCCATTGACCTAGTTTTGTATTTAATTATACATATCCATGCATATCCTACATGGAGAGAGATGTCAGACAGCACCAAGTATGATGATACAAAGCTTTGGAAAATGAACAAAACTCATGCATCTATCTGTACATGGACATACTTTAAAATCACTGATGTGATTAAATCCAGTTCTGTTACAGCCTCTCTCTGGCAAATGCATACGCCAACACTTCTGTCCTTTGACCTGGATCGCAGCCATCACACAGGTGTTCAGCACCAGCAAGGAGACTGGTGTGCATCCTCTCTTGGGCTGGAGGGTAAGCTGCAGGGGGTTTTGTCAGTGCTGTTTTGTCTAGGGTAGCAAATAGCTCAGGACTCTGTTCCATGAATGGCCAACCTGAACACCTGTGGTGGTGCTGGGTGATTGAGTCTAATGTGGGGCACAGGCTGCCCCCAACTGCATTTCTGTTAACTAGAATATATAACTGAATTCATACTTTTATGCTAACTACAAAAAACAGATGCAACAACATAAGTTGGACTGATAGAACCTGGTGATACTGGATCTTCAAGAAGCTTGATGTTAGAGTAGGTCAACTCCTCCCACTCGAATTTGAACCAGCAGAATGTTTTATAAAAATCTGGCTGACTGTATCACATGGCTTAACTATTTTTAAGCTACTAATAGAAGCTCTAAGGTTCAATTTGTGTATCATCATTGTCCATGTCAGGGTCAGCGGCTCCATCTCCAAAGAGTTAAGGACATTTACGCTGAAGAGGTGACTTTGTAGGCCAGTTAAAACAAGAACTATACCATGAAATGAGCAATCCCATAAATCCAGTTTATTTTTTTTCAAGAATACCAAAAGTAGGCCTGCGTGTGGTAATCTTCATATCAGTGTTGAATTTGCCGGAAAGGAACAGGAAAGTTAGCAAGGCTATGTACTAGTCCCAGGCAAGTCCAAGCACCTCATGTTCAGTAGCTTTATTTCAAAGCAGTTGCTCTTCTAAGTGAAGTCTTCCCAAAATGCATTCTCTCACCTGAGAGTGATACAAATTCATTGTGATATTGAACATTCTCAGATGAAGTTTGAAGATGATGTACATCTTCTCTAATTCTTCTGAAGCCAGCTACTGCTCTGTATAGTTAAATAAAACAATACAAAGGCAGCACTGGAAGGAGTGGACCTAGTGTAGGAGTCAAGATGTCTTGAATATCTCACTTCTGTTCTTGGAGGTACTGCAGGAACTCATTTATCTTAGTTCTGTCAAAAACATGCAAGTGCTTGCCCAAGACAGCAAATAAAAAACCATTATATATTAAAAAGAAATATATAGCCATACACCAGACCATAAATTGGTTTTAATACTTTGCGATATCATTGACCCATTGCTTTCAATTTAAAGGGAAAAAAGAGTTCTGACTACTATTCACCTGAGAAGGTGGATGAACTCTCTTTTTTTTTCATTTGTTCTTTCAAGAAAAACCCCAATATTTTAGAAATGGCAAGTGAGGGTAGAAAAGGAGACAGCATGTTTATCTATTCTCTATGCCACTTACTTTTTGCCTGTCAGGCCTCTCTTAGATGAGAGAAACTAAAAAGGAAAAAGAGGACAGCCACAACTCATCACATTAGCAGCCCCATCCTTCCTGTGGGCAGAGGTTAGACATTGCTCTCTTTGGCATGGGTAACCTGCTGTATGCGTCTATAGGAGATGAAAGAACTCAATTATACAGTAGAACTACTTGGGAAAGCCACTAATATCTTACACTACTCATCTTTTGTCATAAAACCAGAAGTATTTTAATTAAAATATTGAAGCATCCAGTAATATTAGGCATTAATTTAAATGTAAGCAAAACACGTAAGTGAATTGGTGATACAATTTCTTGTCAACAGATTACAATTACTATGCACTAGCTGAAACTTTAATGTTTTTTTCACAAGCAGATGGAGGAACATGTATTTTATTCTGCAGTTCTTAAAGTACTCCAAATGCAGAGATTTGAAAAAAATGTATTTTTGCTCCATTCAAGTCCTTTTTCTATGCCTAATAATCACTTCCTTTCAAACAGGTCTTTTATATTTGTGTAACAGAAAAGAGCAAAAAGAAAAAATATTTTCAGTTTGTAAAAAGGTTAAGGTTTGTCTCATCATCTTGTCAAGTGAAAAACACACATAGAACAGTATGGCTTAGATGGTGGCCTAATTAGTGGAAAAAAAGGCACAGAAATGCGGCATGGAGAGCGTAATTCAGCCCAAGGTACACTGAAACCAGAGTGCACTAAAATGTTTTTCTTAGCATTCAAAATTTGGCACTCACGCTGAAATGAGATGAAATAAGAGCTACAGTAAAAAGCTGCCAAATTTCATGCTTAAGAATTGCCTGCTTTCATTTCCACAGCCCGATGAATTTGTCTGGATAAGTATTTGAAATGGGCATCGCACTTGAAAGCCATCAAAATATTTTTAAAGCAGTCTTTTCCACTGAGAGCATGAACTAAACTGCCACCACATCTACCCTGTAGAAGCTAAAGGGGTGTATTATTCTACAAAAAGATCCTGCTTTGATTATTTTTCCTCCTATTACTGATGGTAACTCCTTGTCCTCAAAGGAGGTAGACTGAAGAAAAAACAGAACTGAAGAAGGTTCTGAAGGATGGGATAGAGCTCTTTGCTGCCATCCACTTTAACTCAGTTTAATGGCAAAGGTACCTCACCAGGGTGAACTTGCAGTTTGGGCCTAGAAATGACAGTATTTTTTCATTCAACTGTACATTCCACTATATCTGACTGATACCTATACAGAAACTAGAACGTTAATTCCCAAATCTGGATCTGAAAGTCATCGCAGGTCATAAGGCCATGATGGGCAGCAGCTGATCTGTGGGAGATGACCATAAAACTACTTAATTAGGGTGATGAATAATTTTTAACTGATAATGTTTACTATGCCAAGGAATGGGACAAATAATGAATTAGGATATTTAGCTATGTAATGTAATGGTAGCTGAACAAGGAAGAAACAAATCAAAGACTCTATGGGTAGTGAGGCAAATAGCAACACAGCAATTAATACTCCAATAGCTGCAAGTGAACTGCTACATTTTATCCACAGATAAGTAACAGAAATCCATAAATTGGCAGCCCCTCACAAGAGAAAAGCCTGTAATTTCAAGCTTTCTCTTTAAACTTTTCTTCCTAGGTGGCAGCAGCGAGTCTTTCTTCCTTCTTCCACAACTCCAGCCTGCAAATCTGTAAGGGGGCAAAACTAGACATGAGAGATGGTGAAATCAGCACTACAACAGCCTTTCCCTGCAAACACTGTCCTTAGGTTTGCCTGCTTTGTGGAGTATAGTTGTCCCCCAAAATTCATACAGTAACCTATGCTTATTTAGACTGAAAACTAGAATTAGTAAATTTGTTAGTATTTAGGCACTTGGCAACCCCTGCATTGTTATCTCATTCAGTTATGGTCCTTTCACTTCAGGTGAGACAACACATGGCCCTGCAACAGTGTCTGCTTCTAAAGGATGTGATAATATCTGGATGAGGAACACTCAACAGTGTTTAGTTTGCCCATACTAAACCTTCTATTGCTGTCCATATTTTCAGATTTGTGTTATCAAATCTTCTTCAAAAGCCATGCCTGTCCTTCACAGAGATGTCTTCTCTGCACTTCGTACTGGTAAGCACCCTGTGAAAGCAACTCAAAATTTTACTGCTATTGGCCACTTTTTTTCTTAAATGATTAAAATGTCTGTAAGAAATAAATCTGAACAGCTGATGGAGCAGGAAGACAAACTAGTTGAAGGTTCCTTCTCTAGTTGAGCACCAAAAGTTTCGTATTTTTGAACTACTAAGGAGAAAAACAACATAAACCTTTTTTTTTAAATTTATTTTTAGAAAAATCACAATGTTGATAGGAGATTTTAATAAGTAATTTTTAAGCTTGCAAAAGCTGAAAAAGGATTCAAAAGTCTGGTTAGCTAAAAGCTATTCTGAGCTTCCCCTGCCATTCTATTTCTAACCAACTCTGACTTATTTCTGTTTTCTCCACACTTGGCATTGATATGAGATACCTATTTATTCATTCAGGTGAGCAGGATGTTTCTTTGTATTTACATAGAGCGTATGTTTATATAAAAGTCACTTTTGCACTCTCAAACACACTTAAAGGTTTTAGCACTTTTGTACCAAAAGCAGAAGTGGGGCAAGAGGCTTACAAATTAATTCCATAACAAAAT